CCGAAAATAGGAATCAAAAGATTATAAGCGTGTGAAAAAATTTATTTCAGTCCCCAGGGGCCCCGTTTACAATATAAATATTGATAATACAACCATGGAATTAAATAATTTTTGGATTTGTATTCTTTTTCGAGATTCAAGAATTTGAAAGGGATGCAAAATCTCTGAATGAAATGACAGAGATTTTCTACATTATTTTCTACAATTTAAATTCATATATTTTTCAATTTCTTTGGTTTATATTTTACTACATATCAATCTTAATAAATACATCTGACAAGTTTTATCATAAAGTTTAGACAAAATAAAAATTTAATTTAATTAGATTCTTTAATCACCGGCTTCCAGGCAGGATACGCCCATATTTTGCAAGAGATGGATAGAGAACAAGCTAAAAACAAAAAGAATTTTTTGTACAATCAGGAGCCATAATCCACAAAGTTATGGTCTTAAATGCGCAAATATCAAAAGGGACTGAGATTTTTGGAATATAACGATATGTTTTAAGTATCATCCAGAGGGTCCATAACCTTTGTATTACATACTTTTACACAATTCGCGTACAAAGAGCAGCCATTTTGTCGTTCAGTTTCATTTCGATTTTCCCGAAATTCCAATTCAACCTTCATTTTGGTGGAATTGTGACTTGTAGAGATTCCACAAGCTAAAAATGTGATTTTTCGACCAATCAGGGACCATAATCCAGGAAGTTACGTTCAGATATGTGTGATTATCAACAGGAACCAAGATCTTTATGATAAAAACATATATTTAAAGTTTCATCCAAATCGGATAACAACTGTGGCCTCTAGAGGGTCCACAACCTTGATATACCATATTTTTACACTATTTACGTACAATTTTTGTCCGATTTTTACAAAATTTAAACTCAACCATCATTCGTGTATAACTGTGATATATTCACATGCTTTTTTTATAAATCGGATAAAAATTGTGACCTCTATAGTGACCACAAGCTCAAAACACGATTTTTCGTACAATCAAGGGCCATAATTTAGGAAGTTACGATCTGATATGCGCGAATATCGAAAGGAACATAGATCTTTGGGATATAAACTTGCATTCCAAGTTTCATCAAAATCGGATGAAAATTGTGACCTCTAGAGGGTCCACAACCTTGATATACCATATTTTACACTATTTGCGTACAAGAGGCGGCCATTTTGTCCGGCAGAAATTGAAACTCGACCATCATTAGGGTGTAACGGTGATAAACGTTTTTTTAAATCTGATAAAAATTGTGACCTCTAGAGGGACCACAAGCTAAAAACGCAATTTTGCGTACAATCAGGGGCCATAATTCAGGATGTTACGATCCGATATGCGCAAATAGCGAAAGGAAACAAGATATTTGGGTTATTAACATGCATATCAAGTTTCATTAAAATCGGATCAAAATTGTGACCGCTAGAGTGTCCACAAGCTAAAATCTTGATTTTTCGTACAATCAGGGGCCATAATCCATGAAGTTATGGTCCGATACATTCGAATCGAGATCTTTGGGAGATAGACCTATATTTCAAGTTTCGTCAAAATTGGATAAGAATTGTGACCTGTAGAGTGTCCAGAAACAAATTGTGGACGGACAGGGGCGACGACGTGAAAAGTCAACAATTTTGATAATAGCCATTAAAACTTAAAAGGTATCAAATACACAAGATGTACTTTAATTTATCTTATAGTAGGTAAAAGAAGTTTCATTATCAACCTTTTTCAAAATTTTAACCTCTAAAATGGAAACTACGATATAATAAAGAAACCGAAATTTTGAACCCTGTTAGCTATACTAATTTTGTGACATATGTGGGTCATTGCATATCAACTGAACCAGTGGTGGGAACATGACCCCCTCCTCAAAAATTATAAAAAATATCAGGGAATATGATAAGCGGTATTGCATCGCAGTTTGCTAAACAAAAATGACGTACATGCAAATCAGATATTAATTTGATTAGCAGAAATTTATCAAATTTAAGGGAATCTGCGAATCAATTATAAGCTAATCTTTTAATAGTAATTCAGTTCACGATCTAATTAAGTAATTAGCACAAACATTAAATTTAATAATTCCGTAAATATACAAGCTCAATAATTATTCACAAAACAATAATTTTTATCTGTAACCATTTCCCTTTGTAAGAATTGACCATGTGTTCCAATCTGCTATCACACAATATTTTAATCATTTTCCATTCACTGAACAACAAAAATATTCCGTAGTCTATAATCATACGAAAAATGTATCCATCCGAAGCATGCACTGTTATTAGCTATACACACAAACTATACTCAAAGCCATTAAAAACACAATGCCTAATTCGTGAAATATTTCTGGTAAACGTTTTCTTGGGCTGAAACTTGTGATGGGTCTCTTTTTGTGGAGTTTTGGGTTTGAACCCAATATCAGTTTTCGGTAATGAACTTTGTTCGTGCAAACGCAACACTTATCTTTTTTCACGATTTTAAGCAGTACCATGTCATGCGTTTTGCATGTGCATTCCCTGCAATCTGGCCCTTTAAATACAGATCAAAATTACAACATTCATCTCTTCGGAAAAATGCCACGCCTTACACAAGAAAACAGGAGCTGGATCAGGGGACCACATTTTGCCACCTGGTGGCACAAACTGTGTTAATCGCACATTGCGTGTGATGCTACATTCGTAATCTACACCAAAAATTGTCTAAGATTACCTAGTTAGAGATTTAAAGCGCCTGAAAACCTGAAAAAAATTACTGAATTTATGATTCGTTTCAGCACCCTAATTTCAAATTGCCATAATCTCTGCGAGTTTTTGACCTAGAGAGGTATAATTTTGGATTTGTTAGCTTAAGGCCATATACTATAACATATATTTTTTATAATTTTTTTTGGAGGGGTCATGTTCCCAACTTTCCGAAATCTGGTTCACTTGACATGGAATATGACCCACATGACAGTGCTTGCCACACCCACATCAGATTTTAGTAGTTTAACTTTACTCCCAGTTCTTCTAAAATATTCATTTATTTTTTAAAAAATTAAAGAGATTGTTTTGAAATTTATTTTAAACAAAATAAAAAATTAATTTTATAATATTGCCAGTGATATCAAATTTCAATGCAGATCAGTTTGGGTGTTATTTTGCAAAGTGCCATTATATTTGTATCATATCGAATGTTTATTTAGATTAAATAAAACGCATACTACTAGAAAACTGGGGGGGGGGGGGGTAAAGTTTGATATTGGGCAATCAAAATTATTATTAAAAATATTACAGCCTAGCTTAAAGTGTCAAAGTCAAAATCAAAGATTGTCTGAAAATTGCAGGATACACCATAAATTTTAATTGTCTGTCAAGCAGAATTTGTGTGACATCATGTACCTTACTATTAAGTAAGTCTGAGCTTTAAAACGATATAACTAGTTATGACGCAAATATATTAAACAATGTTGTTTATTTAACACATCGTGAAATATAATTACATATCGACAAACAGTTCCGATACCCCTTGTCATATTATGGCTCGTGACTTCATCCGGTAAGCCTATCGTTTTAGACGTTGCAGTCCGAGATAACCCGCAACCTCAAAGGAAATCTCCTTCTGACATCATCAGTTCAGACAGTGCTCTATTTCTATCTAAAAATACTCTCTATGAGGTAAATCACTATGGCATTCTAAGCAGTTCTCCTCTCTTGCTGACGATTGCCCGGAGTTTACTGACCTAGTCGTGATTATCTACGATTACTTCCATTTATAGAATATTTGACCTCTCCGATCGTTTCCGAAGTTTACTCGGAAGAGTTATTACCATATATGGTCAGATTATTTCCCCCTGCAGGGCATTGACGTCAGACTGCGTATTACTGCGGTATTCTCACTTCGGTTACGTTCGGCATTCTTTGTGTTCCATATATGGAAGTTTCCGTTTCATAGGCCAAAGGTCACTATAATCTTACGTTCAGAGATAATGTATTATAATTTAGTCCCTGGATTTCTCTTATTTCTGTTTTATGTCATAAAATTTGTTTTAACAGACATCTCGCCATTGCATATTGGTATCGGGTTGTAAAATAGTCTAACACATTATATCGTTTGTAACTGAAAAATGTGTTATAGTAAATTTGTGACCTACTTAGAAGCCATGGATAATTGATCGTAAAAGTTATCTTTTATTTATACCTACGTCACATTGACGTCAATGGGGAATTCTCCCCTGATTGGCTAGAATTTTGTAGTAGACTCCAAATAAGGGCATATGACTGTCGTAAAGTTCATTCATAACTCACTGGTATATAAGGCAGGGATTCATTCATAAGTTTGCAGCCTTACTGTTCAGATGATATACTAAGGATTTATATACCATATAGTTCTAAGAGAACCACAACAATCTGTGGCTTCCTGGATTAACGTTTATCTTTCATCGTGTCGGACTCACCTAAATCTCCATCCGTCATGATTATGGATGGTTTAGATACTTTATCACAAGTGGCACTGGCGGATATTCATAGTTTCTCTTATGATACTCCGGCCACGGGGGCTGTCATTCGCCCCACTCAAGAATTTGTGGATGATTCTTTAAATACACCAGTGACAACATGTTCCGAAACATCATTTTTCGGACCGGATAGCTTAGAGCCACCACCAATCACTGCTACTGGTAGGTTTTTATTATTCATAACATTATGGGAGTAATATAAGTTCATTTACTTCAATGGCTGTTTATTTCTGTAAAAGCAATCAGCTGTTAAGACTTGTTGAACGACCTACTTCAGTACTTGACTTATGTTAGCTTTGAAACACCTTCAGATGATTGCAGGAACTGTTTTGAATACAGAATTGTTCAGAGAAATAAATGAGAGTTCCTGTTTTTGTAACTTATTTTGGCAAAACATGTATGATCTGTTTCTTGTTCTTATTGACTGAACTTAGCCCGTTTCTTCATCGTGGGAAAACGACAAATCCGCCATAATACATGTTGCGTTATGAGTTTATTGATTTGGCTTACGCAGTGCCATCTAGGTAGTGTTTCAGCGCTTTGGTTGGAAAGTTGTCGTGCTAAGACTATCAGTAAGTGCTATATTTGCAAGTTTATTGATTTTTTACTAAAATTAGATCTCTGGAGGCGAGGGTCCAGGCTATTTATTTCATTCATCAATTGGTTTGCGTGAGCGTCATTTCAAATCGCCTACGTAAAAGAGGCGGAGTCTGTTATTTGCTTTAGATAAACCAGTGTACGTCAATCTCTTACGTTCATTGATGCGACTCGCTTCACAAATTCACGATGTTTATCAAGGGTAGGCCTACGTTATTTTCATTTTTATTAACAAATATATAAAACTCAACAAGGCATATTTTTTACTTTATTAGCCTACTGGTTTTAGAAGCATAAGGATTCTAGTCTCAACTTTGAACATGGGTAGGTGTTACGTAATGTTATAGGCCATACTTAGAATTTAAGGATTGCAATATCTTTGAATATGGGTAGGTGTTGCAATATTGTAGGCATCAGAACATACATGTAACCAATTATTGTGATATTTTACTTTTTTAAAGTTTATTTTGTTAATTGATTACTTATGTGTTCTATTTTTCTACTTTCAGCAAATATCGTGGCTTCGATCAACATCCCCGATAAATCGGTGGAGGGTATGTTCCCAAACAGAACCCAGCCCCAGCAAAGCGGAAATGTTACCCACACCATCTCGTACAAGGGAACCCTGGTTACAACTGCTGTGACACCAACGTCAACCCAGAGTGATGTTCAACCAAACTTTGCTTCATTCTTCACCCCACTGTCACCTCTCTTCACTATCCTGTCCCAGGCTAGCCAATTCCAGAGTAATGTTCCTCAGAATTATCATTCAAGTTTTGCTGCTTCTACTGCTCCCGCTGAGACCTGTTTTCCAGAAACAACATCATCCGGCCTTACTTCAGTATCCAGTACTTTCCCCTCCACTTCAACTCTCTCGACTTCAGATATTAGTGAAATATGTCCCACCTCTATGGCAATGTTCAAATCCTCTTCGCCATCTCCAGTGCATACAGAATCGTCTCAGGTACAAGGGATGCAGCACCAACAGGAACCGGAAATGTCCTTCAGTGACCAGATTGAGAGTTATGCTGCTGATTTCGGTTCTCCTGTAACAACACATTCTAACCAGTCAACTCCTGAACCCCAGATGCCAGTTATGTCAGAAAGTATAACACAACCTGATGAAAGTATTAGTTATTCTTCACCACCGCCACCTCCTTACTCGCAGGCAATGCCCATGCCATTAGGTGTAGATATTGATTTGTCGAATCTCGCCATGAAACAACCACAAACATTTAGTAGTTGTGCTCAACAACAACCACAACAACAATCTCACTCGGCACATCTCAATTTGTTAAATTATTCACAAGGAGCAGTTCCGGACACTGTGTTGCAAATGCAAATCTCAGACTTTACCAAATCTCAAAATATTAGTGCGGATTTAAAATGGTCTATATCTAATAATCCCACTTCACAATCTCAGTTACCAGACTTTACTGCTTTAGTGTCTCAGCCAAGTGGACAGATAGCAATGCAGGCCTTCCCTTTAGCTGGCGCAATCAAGACCGAACCAAGTGATAACTTTGAAGAACGTTTCTTTTTACCAACCTCGGTTCCAATGGAATTCGCGACAACATCCGGTATCGCAACCAAATCTGATATTCATCCAATTTCACAACCTTACCAACAGAGCACTTTAAAGTTTTTACCAGTGAAACAAAGAAAATATCCTAACAGACCTAGTAAAACTCCACCCCATGAAAGACCTTATGCCTGTCCTGTAGAAAATTGTGACCGACGATTTTCAAGAAGTGATGAACTTACTCGCCATATACGAATTCACACAGGACAAAAACCTTTCCAATGTAAAGTGTGTTTAAGAGCTTTTAGTCGTAGTGATCACCTTACAACTCATGTTCGCACACATACGGGGGAAAAACCCTTTTCATGTGATATATGTGGACGCAAATTTGCCCGTAGCGATGAAAAGAAACGCCACGCTAAAGTGCACATGAAACAACGTATAAAGAAAGAAGCCAAGATGATTGCGGCTACAGCAACCTTGCCGACAACCCAAGCTGCCTCAACTTCAGGTGCTGTGACAATGAGTGACTCTGTTATTGACACTAGTGCCATTCTAGGAGGTGCAGGTTCCCTTCCAATGGTGGTTTCCACCTCATCTCTATTGTAAACATTTTGGTGCTTAGAACTAACTATTCATTGTTTTATAATGACACTACAAGAGCATATTGCATTCAATAATAAGCATCGTATCATCTTTCAGTCATTATTTTAGGATGAATGAATAATGTACAAAAACCACAGATCACATGCTTGTATTAAGGCTAACAGACTCTCTAAAAAAATTATGATGAATGGCTTGCTGATAGCATTGTACAAATCTTGTTTTCTCATTGCTAGTTTCATTGTTACTGTTTTTTCAGTTATGATTTGCTTTTAACAGATTTTTTAACTGGTATTATTATTATTATTAGTGCTGTTGTTAAATATTGATTATTAATGTTCAAATTATACAATGTGTATATCATATTAATTCGCATGCTTTAATGGCAGCATTGTGGTCTCTTTCTAGGTCATTTTCTAGGTCATTTTCACTTTCAAAATAATATGACTTTTAGTGGCATCCATGAGTTTCATTGTATATCAACCTCATCATTCTTCGTCCCCCAATCTCCATCTATTATACTCTCATTTTATCCGAAAAGAGGAAAAACTACATGTACATCATCTTTATCCCTATTCTAATCAAAAAATACATGTTATTGTGTATATGTCACCCCGGTTACTTTGCGTTGTGAACGTTATTATTATTATTATTATATTCTTGTTTTACGTTTTGTTGTTTTGTATATACATAAATATATTTCGCAATCCTATGCGCGGGTATGTGATAAGTTATGAGCCTTGTAATTCGAATAGATATATATATATATATATATTATATATATACACACTTAACGTTATTTTCTTCATGTTGTTATTATCACTGATTATTATACTGCAAGCCTTTCTATACTAAACTATTCTTGCTGGATAAGAATGTCGTATATTATGGCTTAATGCCACATTGAAGAAAACATTAAATATCTTTTAAGTTTATAAAAATGAGTTTGTTTTAAATGCATTCCAAATAAATATAAAATGAAAAGGTGCCTTAGACATATTATGGACAATGCAGATGGTTATGGGATTTTGTTGAACATGGGGCTTAATGTCCGGGGCTTTGCAAAAAAAAAAATGTCAGTGATTGGCTTCCATAAGTTATCATGACATTCCAGTTATCAATACCAAAGGGATTCGAAAGATTTACCAACAGGAATAATGTGTACGAGGATATGACTTTGATTTATGCTCCGACCCAAGACTGCTTCTTTTGGACTTTTAAACGTGCATGCAGTAAGAATTCATTTACAATTGTAAACCGCAATGATCTGCCTCGAAAAAAAAATGGATTATATAATGGTAGATTCGAATTAAGGTGACTAGGAATGTTACTGTTCAAACAACCAGACCCACAGTAATGAAATAGGATAATATGGAAAGGAAATGACCCATTTTCACGGGAAGAGATGAAATGAACAGAAGATTACCTGTTATCCCAAAATACAATCTCATATATACTAAACAGCAAAAAAAATGTCAGTACGATTTCAAAATCAGAGAGGCACTTTAATCAAATCATTCTAGAAAAAGACTTACTAAATGGATCAAAGCAATTTTTTGTGAACAGTATGTTGACACATTAGTGATTAATTCATCACAATTCCAAAACATTACGAGAAGGTTTAGAGTCTGTACAAAGTCTATACACCAGTATCTGGTGTGTCAATAACAGCAGTGCAGCGTCTGTACATAGAGTGGACCAGACGATTGATGAACGCCATTGGCACCTGGAACCACACTCTCAGAAAAGCCTGGCGCAATCAATCGACTGTGTTTGGTCTCGGTACAACGTTATTAAGTCTCCTCTGAATTTCATCCCAAAAATGTTCAATCGGGTTTAAGTCCGGACTAAGGGCTGGCCAGTGCATAACGTTGACACCGTGCTGTTGTAGAAAGTCCCGAGAAACTCTGGCGCTGTGGGCATGGCCGTTGTCATGCTGGAAAACGTTGTTTCGATGACGTGCGAAATGGGGTCTGAGAGCTTGATCGATGTAGCGCACTGCTGTGATGCCGCCTCCTCTCCGTGGACCAAGATTTTGGAACACATCGGGACCCACTCTCTGGTTCAGGCCGATTCCACCCCAAACCATTATGCTTGGACCTCCCTGTGAGTCTTGTTCCATGACACATTGGTCAGACTAACGTTGGCCACGTCGACGCCATATTCTGGTCCTGCCATCTGCAGTTGATACGCAATACCGACTCTCATCTGTGAACAGAACCGTTCTCCATTGCCTGTGTCGCCAGTTCTGGTGTTGTTGGGTAAACTGTAGACGTTCAAGTCGATGGCGAGGGGTGAGGATCGGTCCACGGTAAGGTCTACGGCAATGGATGTTCTCTCTGGTGAGACGTCAGCGCACTGTATCGGTACTGATGGGTCTTCCGTGTGTTCCCCACTGTCTGACATGCTGTCTCAGATGCCTGTGTGAAGGGATTCTGCACGTGCTGCCGCACAACATGGCGGTCTTGTCGCCTTGTGGTAACCCTTGGTCTACCAGTTCGCCGGCGATGGATGTTCTCTCTGGTGAGACGTCGGCGCACTGTATCGGTACTGATGGGTCTACTGTGTGTTCCCACTGTCTGACGTGCTGTCTCAGATGCCTGTTTGAAGGGATTCTGCACGTGCTGTCACACAACATGGCGGTCTTGTCGCCTTGTGGTAACCCTTGGTCTACCAGTTCGTGGGCGATCATCCGTGGTGTTGGTGGCCCGAAAGCGTTGCTGAAGCCTGTAGATGGTCCGAACATTGACCTGGAAGTGATTGGCAACGGCTTGGGCAGTGTGGCCAGCGTCGAGTCTACAAAGCGCCTGGTTCCTCTGAGCTGTCGTGGCATGCTGCATGCTGACGTTGTAGTGTGAATGATTCAACCATGTATGGGGGTGAACATGAGTTACATGAAAATCATGGAGAACACATTACCATCTCAGAAGACAGGTTGCGTTTTTGAGAACATTTCCTGGGTTCAATTCTGTGATTCGGAAGGAGCCTTATTGCTCAGGTAAAGTTGGAGATATACAATAAAAACATTTGGCAAATTTTATGCAATGCGACTATTCAGAGTAACATACCAGCCTGACGTTTCTTTTGCTGCCTAGTATAGTCAAAAGTATATAATTTGAAGAGCAAAGAATAGAAACGTCGAAAAGAAAAAATATTGTTTAACGAAATATCAATTGCTACCCACTCCTCCCACACATTTTACGGCCAATATAATATCATTTATACCGAGAAAATTTATCGTTTTTCCCCATGTCATTTGTGCCGGGCTGTGTTCCGGGCAAGGAACATCGTCTAGTCGTACGAAAAATCCAAGGCCCCGTTTTACACAAAGGAGTGGTCACAAGAGAACCCTTTGGAGCAGAAGCGGAACGTTAAACCCCTTTCCATTCAGTGATATACTAAAAAAAGACACCCGAGCAGTACAGTTTCATGCAGAAATGTCAAATATAAAGAATTCCCATTAAATAAATCATGTTTTTTTATATTTAAAGACAGAATGTGAAGACAAACAGATGAACCGAAACTAACACGATCGAGGAGAAAGAAAGAAACACGGACATTTCCGGAATATATCTTAGAACATGTACACCACAGATTATTTGCTTGTCATCTTGTTTCTTTTGGAATTTAATCTAAAAAGAAATAAAACAATCGGAAATAATTTTGCGTGTGTGTTTATGGTGGATTAGATCTTCCATACAATCTGTTTTAATAGCCAGAACACGGGATTCGGCTTTTATTTTCTTAAAAGTTAAACGGGCATTATGCAAGAGCCCAATCTGCCTACTGCAGGTCTTTCTTTAGGCCTTAAATGTTATATAAATTATTTACTAGACATTTATTAAAGATACATTATGGAACATTCGATAACGAGTTGGCAGTTCTCACTATAATAGTTAAAAACTAGATAATGTAAAGGCAATTTGCTGAAATTTCCGGCTAGCCTTGCTAAAGTCAGTACGATAAACAGCATAGTTTCGATTATCCATTTAATCGTTAAATCGTGAAGGAAAGTTAGGCAGTAAATCGGCCCATAATCCACTAAAGATCGCAGTCTAGCGATGTCATCTAGAGTTGATTATGGTCTGGATAGGTTAATTAATGTCTAATTAATAATTTAGATAACATTTCAGGCCTAAAGAAAGACCTGCGATAGACAGATTTAGCTCTGCATAATGTATGTTTAACATGACAAAACCATAATCTACTCTCGATGCCATCAGATGGCTCCGGTTTTAAGTAGATTAGAACGGTTCGGCCATTTAATAATTAACATTAAAACTGGAGAAGTGAGCCGAACACTCGAATGGCCAGTACGGAGGTTACGGTCAACGCAACTACAGCCATTGAGAACTTCGCTCAAAATAAAGTAATTTGAATTAAATTTTTATTATATTTGTTTTGCATTTTCTATTTTTGAAATATTACGAAAACGACCGGCTCTTTATCTAAATCTTACATTATGACCCTTTAACCGGCAACCTTATACAAAATGAAAAATAGTAACAAAATTGAAGCTTTCATTTTCTTAAAAATTAACCGACAGCCTTATACAAAATTAAAAATAGTAACAAAATTAAACCGAACTGACATTGAATCGAATATCATTCATTTATTATTCATGCTAAGTTACCCTGGGTGTATTCTATTTTACCTATAAGCACACATTACATATTCTATTATAGGGCCTACCTAACTTTCTCTTTTATTTAAACATATATACAAAATATTTTTACAAAGTATTTTTAAACATTTTGATTATAAAAAATGGGAGCGGAACTATTTTGATTCAGTTTTAAGTATAGCTTCATGCCCTTAGATATACCTTGGGCATTGAATTATCATGTTTAGTTCTTCATAAGAATAGTTTCTCGTGATAATTATAATAATACCGCACCGCTTAAGGATATCACAATCCTCGAAACTACTTGACACAATAATCACTGTCACCGGTCACTGTCAACCCTGTGTCTCGAAAGAATTATTCTATAGTACTATTAATGTCAATATGACTTGGGGAATCTGAAGTATAAAGGCACCAAAAAAAAATCTGTTTCTGGGCGTTTCCCTTGCACATTAATACCTTTCGAAAATTAGTCCAAAAATCACAAAAGCATATTATGTGGGAGTGATAGCTATAGCTGCTAGATTATCAATGTAGATTCCGTTGTATATTTCACATAACATACTTTTATTACCAAAAGGTACACACATAATGATATACAGTCAAACTTGGCTACCGCTAACTCCACAATCTTGAAGACTGGCTATATAATTTGATGCATAGGGGGATCTGGAGAAAGCCATTTTACATATAAATAAAATGCCGTTAGCTATGTAAAGTCATTCTTTAACACATTTCAGAGAATAACTCAATAGATCAGCACTCTTCTGCAAAGCACAAGATTAAGAGAACTCCCGAAATTTACGTAGGATTGGGGCAACTTGTCAGATCAATGCAACAGAATATAGATTTATATTTTTTTTTTTTTAAAAAAAGACCTAAACAAACGCACCCTAATCTATTATTAAACTGAAGAGCAATATAGAAGAAAGTGAATTCTAGTGGTTGGGGATCATCGAACCATCACCCTTGGCTATGACCATTGCTCTATTCAGTTACTAAATGACTCTAAAAGATTACACTGAAGATGGCGATGACTGTTCTGAAAAACTCGAACTGGATACACCTTTGCCGAGTGATGTAGTCGTAGTCGTCCAATGAGTACGACGCTGGCTCGCTAACAGGAGGTTTCGGGTTCGCTCACGGTGGTATTTCTACCCATACCACATTGTATGCCCATCTTTATTATCCCAATCGGTACAGAAAAGTAGAACGTTAATACCCATTTCATGTCATTTGCTTGGTGATCGCGGATCCTGACATTAATTTATGTTGTTTAATATCAGATATTCAATGCCATATTGACGGTATCACGAG